TATCAAAACATTCCTTTCTTTTGACAGAAACCTGTTGCATAAGCTGCTTAGACTAGTTTTACAAGTTAGTCATCTGATACTAAATGATGATCTTATTCATATACCACGATGCTACATATATCACAACATTCCTTTCTTTTGACAGAAACCTGTTGCATAAGCTGCTTAGACTAGTTTTACAAGTTAGTCATCTGATTTTTTTTTTTTTTAAGGGACAGGTCATAACTAAATCAGTTGTATAACTTGTAGATTGCAGTAATTTGAGAACGAAAAGGCAGATTTTCATGAATTAGCTGGTCAGACTAGCCAGTGCAGTCCACTTACCGAACCAGCTCTTTTTAGTGAGAACATGAATCGTGATTTATGAATCAGCCAGACCAATAACTGAATGAATCTGATTTACGCACTGCGATTTATTAATCTCTTCATTTATTAACTGCGAGTTATTAAACTCACCATGTCTGATAATTATTGTATTATTATTACTATTATTATTGTTGTTAGTGGTGGTGGTTTTATATTCATTTTATATTTATTTATTTATTTATGAGGGGTGATGATACTCAAATCAGTGAAGTATTTTTTTTTTAAACTTTCGGTAAATGTGTTACCATATTTTAGTTTTATTTTATAGTATTTTTTTTATTAAATGTACAGTTAATAGTTAATGGAGTTATTTTTTTTATAATATATATAGTTATCAATTATTGGATTGCTAGTCTGTGTAAACAGCTATTGATTTTTTTTTTTATATATATATATATTTAATGGTGACTGTAACTTCCCCAAATTAGTCAAATAAGTACATATCAGATCATTTTTCCTTTTTATGAAATGGCAAGGCTAGTTCAGGTTTTAAAATGTCAACTTCATAAGCTGCTTTACCCAAATGTTTCTTCCTCAAACGTTCAGTGAGAGAAATGAAAGGAAGCAGAATCTCAATAACTGAACCAGTATCGGTATATTAAATAGCATCACTAATAAGAAGAAGAGCATCTCGCATGCGTTATAAAACCCTGCAGTGCGTGAGTTGCTACTGCTGCTCAATAGTGATTGTGAAGAGGTTAAATACAGGTTGCGGTTCTCTTGCCTTGGTATGGCGGCGGAGCCGGAGGCTGGAAGCCGGGGGCGGGTGCAGCGGCCGCGGGGATCGAGCCGTAGTCGTACGCGGCCGGGACGGCGTTGTACGCTGGAGGTCTGTCCTGGAGAAGAGGTTTAGTATCCATATTCGTTCTGAGGCGTCCTGTCCACTTCACCAAACTAACATGAAATCGTCTCGAGCTGCTTTAACGTGGATGATCACCGGACTAACACTAACACAAACCAAAACAAAGATGAGATGAAAGTTCCTCCGCTCTCCCCATGCGACTTCAAGCCGCTCTTACAGCGTCTGTGTGAGGGACAGGAATGTTATTAAGACGGTCAAATGTCCTAGAGATGGTGCGCCATAGCGAACTTTTCTCTCGTTTATGAGAGAAACCTGGATTAGGTAACGACGGAAAGTCCTTATCAAACTCAAACGACGGGGTTTTTTTTCTTTCCTCCTGCTCGCTGCACTGTCACAAGACTCCAATCACGTGATCAAGTGGGACGCGGTGGGGGGGGGGGGCGTCTTAAAGCTACACACACTCACTTTTTCTTCAAGTGTCTCAAATAAAGAAGAGTATTATTTGTATTTTTGTTTACAATCCTGTATGCAACAGATCACGACTCGAGCCCCAGTGAAACACTGCTGTGCCCCAATCAAATATTACGGATAAATAATTGTCTCACAATGGAGATCTTTCCTTGGCAATATTTCAGCTATATATATATATTAGTGCTGTCAAATATTCATTTACATAATATCTTTGTATGTGCTGTGTATATTTATTATGTATATATAAATACAGACACACACAGACAGTATATATTCTGACAATATGTGCATGTATATATTTATATTCATATAATTTATATTATATATAAATATATTTAATATATAAACGTAACATATATATATATATACACAGTACACACACATGTAAACAAACAGTACACACTATGTAAACAAAAACGTTTATTTTGGATGCGATTAATCGCGATTAATCGTTTTGACAGCACTACAATATATATATATATATATATACACACCTGAATAATGACTGTTTAATCTTTTTAGAGCTGCTTTACAGCAGAGTTGAATTATTTTTTAATCATTTAATTATTAATTTCCTGTTCGTCATTGTAAAGCTGTGATGAGCTTCAAAAATGATTCAATATTAGTAGCCTACTAAAAATTGTACATTAAATGGGTCCACTTAGAAGCGAAGCTGACATGATCACATGAGATCAAAATGTAAGTTATTATTTACCGAAAACAATGTTCAAACCATATCAGTAAACCGTTTTCTCTGGTTCCCAAAAACCATGGGACAACCCCCTAAATGGCTGAATCTCTTGGCAGTGCAAACACACTGTGACACATTTAAAAAAAAAAAAAAAAAGGACCTGCATGATTCAGTCATGGTTCAGTTGATGGCAAGGAAATTTCCATCAATGTGTAATTTCACCTGAAAATGTAAAGTGCTGAATTATGAGCGTTCTGTTAACATCTGTCTGTGGCTGACTCTGACGGGGTTGAGCGCCATTCGGGACTGAATTGAGAGTGAACGCAGAAAGAATGCAACATTTCCGTTTTAGTTCAAATTCAAGGAAGTAGACCAATGAAAACTTATGAAATTATATCATAATGATATCAAACAAAAATGGGAAATTATATCATAAAGAGGACCCCTGCGGTACGCCTCGTGACTGTGAAGGTCAGTCAGGTCAACCAGATCATTTTTCCTTTCCAGGTATTAATAATGTAAACTTCCCCAACGATGCTTGTTTAAATATATTAAAAATATATTTTAAAACTAGTTTGAACTAAACTTTTCTTGAAAATACAAAAAAACATGAATACTCTATCCATTATTCTCTCTATTTATGTCATCTTCACTACTGCTCTCATTTATTTACATGTGGGCTAATAATGAAACCTAATAATTTGATTATAATCTTCACACCTTTGAGCGGCAATCAAATTCTTGATTGTCTCACAGTGAAGTGACATGTGGCCAAGTATGGTGACCCATACTAGGAATTAGTGCTCTGCATTTAACCCATCCTAAGTGCACACAAACTGCAGTGAACACACACCCGGAGCAGTGGGCAGCCATTTATGCTGCGGCGCCCGGGGAGCAGTTGGGGGTTCGGTGCCTTGCTCAAGGGCACCTCAGTCATGGTATTGAAGGTGGGAGAAAGCGCTGTACATTCACTCCCCCCACCTACAATCCCTGCCGGTACAAGACTCGAACCCGCAACCTTTAGGTTACGAGTCCGACCCTCTAACCATTAGGCCACAACTTCCCCAAGCCACACTCAGGTGTTCCTTTTTTTTGCCTTGTTTCTTTGTTCTGTTTTGTATGATTGAGAATTACAGTTTTATTGCTGTCATAAAGAACTCACCTTGTGACAAGCCAGCTTAGATTCCGAGATTGTTCTTGAGCATGTATGTACAGGTCGTGTCTGCGTGTCTGTCTGGATAGTAAACCAGTCTAGAAACTGACGTTCTCCAATTCAAGCCGCTGATCTGGGTCGCTCTACAGCAATACGCAGCATTATCTGAAGAAAAATAGGAGCGATCTCTGATTATTGTCTTACACATCACACCTGCTCTCTTGGGTTACTTTGTTTTGTTGTGTATGATTCAGAATTGCTCTTATTGCATTATCTACATCCGCTACATCCTCTTTGATGGGGTCTAGAAATTCAGTCTAGAAGTTCTCACAGTGCATGGGGTTGCTCATAATGTATTTCACTCAGGCTCCTCTTGACAGTCCAGAAACGGGATAATCTGGGGAAGCCAGTTGCTCAAAACGTTTAATCTGGATCAGAATGATCTGGATTTGGAAATCTCATGTTTTGCTGTCCAGGATCAGGTAACCCATCTTACTTTTGTGCCGGTTTTTCAAAGCAAAATCGGATTGGATCACCCTGATCCAGATACACACTTTTTCAGATTTCCAAATCTGGGTTACTAGTGCTCTACAGAGCCCCTATGGGACATTGTGATGGGGTGAAAAATGAAATGGGAGGTGGGGGGGTTGCCAATGTTTTGCATTGCATTTACACAAATAACTACTTCTGACTGGTCCATCTCTGATGATTGTGCCAATTACAATTAGTGATTACAAAATACTTTAAATTAAATATAACATTTTTGTTTGATATTGACAGCTATTTGGGCATATATTACATGTTGAAATGTTGTATTTTTTGGACAAGTATTAAAATTTGATTACATTTTTGTTCCTTCTGCTGGGACCAGAATAATCCCATTTTTGGATCAAAAGTATCCCAGTCTTACTAAACCGTTTTGAACAACACAGACTGAGGGTTTAATCCAGATCAAAAGCAAGATTGGATTTTGTGAATTCAGAATCCTTTTTCTAGATCTGATCCACTGATGGCCAAAATCCGATCAACTGGCCCCTGAAGAAACACCCTGGATCCATCTGTTTCATAAACTCATCCATGTCTCATACATTCTTTCATGCTTTCTTTATGAATTTAACATTTAAACCAGGCGATCACAACGTTTAAGAATGCCATTGATTTGAGGTACTTTTGTAGCATCAAAATGAAGAGCATTTTTGTTATTTTTTTATACAAATTGTTCTGGTTTGATTTTATTGTTCCAAAAGTTATTTGTAAATTCATCTGACTGATACATCTTCTATCTATTCATTACATCAGTCTGAAATAAGAGGTGGAGTATAAAAGTTAGTACTCATGTATCACCCTTGAGTTTTAATTATTGAGCATGTAAAGAATGAATAATTGAGCAAGTAAGCGTGCGCATATGAGAGACGGAAAAACATACGTGCTCACACGGTCTGTCCAATCAGAAGCTTAGATTTCGACACGTCCGTGAGCGCTGACCAATCAGAGGGGAAATACCGTTAACTTCCTGCTTTGCGTCTGTGAGCCCTTAGAATAATGCTGGGAATAAAAATAAACGGCCCTCCGATGTTTGTAATGCGCGGAATATATGAAGACTCGCTTCACAGTCATTAAACTACATAGTAGGTAAGTTATGAGTTATGAGTCCGTCTGCTTGCATCGCTTTTGAACAGAATATGAGGCGCTTGTGTGTCGGAATTTAAATCCGTCTTGTCGGTTACTGTGTTTACTAAACATAAAGGATATGACAACGATAGCAATCTGCAAAAACATAACATAAACGGCACGAAGTAGAGAATAATAGGGCTGTAATAATGAATCCAGTCAGACAGGTGCAAGCTGACCAAATGGTGTCCAGTTACCTGTATCTCTTACTTCATATAAGAGACTAAACGTCTGTATTTTGAGTTATCATTTAATATATAATACATATTATTGCAAGTCATCACGATTTTATATATATATAGTCATTCTTGAGAAGTGGGACAAAACAGGGTGCAAAATTGAACAAATAAAACCTTGTACTCAGAGAAATGAAACTACATTTATGTATCTTATATGTACTAAGCTACTGAGCTATGCTTTGATACAACCTCCCAACTTTTCTCTTTTTTAACAAAATGTGCTCTTTTTTTTTTTTAGCTTGGACTGCGTAATATAATTTCAACTTTATCTTTAACAACATTCAAGAGGTTTTTAACATTTCAAAACACATTCTCGTGTTAGCAGACAGAATACACTTTCACATGTGACCGACAATTCCACCAGAAATATAAAATATCATAATGAAATATTATCAAAATATTCAACTGACGGAGGTGACACATCTGACGGAGGTGACAGAACTGACGGAGCTGCCAGAACTGACGGAGGTGACAGAACTGACGGAGCTGCCAGAACTGACGGAGGTGACAGAACTGACGGAGCTGCCAGAACTGACGGAGGTGACAGAACTGACGGAGCTGCCAGAACTGACGGAGGTGACAGAACTGACGGAGCTGCCAGAACTGACGGAGGTGACAGAACTGACGGAGCTGCCAGAACTGACGGAGGTGACAGAACTGACGGAGCTGCCAGAACTGACGGAGGTGACAGAACTGACGGAGCTGCCAGAACTGACGGAGGTGACAGAACTGACGGAGCTGCCAGAACTGACGGAGGTGACAGAACTGACGGAGCTGCCAGAACTGACGGAGGTGACAGAACTGACGGAGCTGCCAGAACTGACGGAGGTGACAGAACTGACGGAGCTGCCAGAACTGACGGAGGTGACAGAACTGACGGAGCTGCCAGAACTGACGGAGGTGACAGAACTGACGGAGCTGCCAGAACTGACGGAGGTGACAGAACTGACGGAGCTGCCAGAACTGACGGAGGTGACAGAACTGACGGAGCTGCCAGAACTGACGGAGGTGACAGAACTGACGGAGCTGCCAGAACTGACGGAGGTGACAGAACTGACGGAGCTGCCAGAACTGACGGAGGTGACAGAACTGACGGAGCTGCCAGAACTGACGGAGGTGACAGAACTGACGGAGCTGCCAGAACTGACGGAGGTGACAGAACTGACGGAGCTGCCAGAACTGACGGAGGTGACAGAACTGACGGAGCTGCCAGAACTGACGGAGGTGACAGAACTGACGGAGCTGCCAGAACTGACGGAGGTGACAGAACTGACGGAGCTGCCAGAACTGACGGAGGTGACAGAACTGACGGAGCTGCCAGAACTGACGGAGGTGACAGAACTGACGGAGCTGCCAGAACTGACGGAGGTGACAGAACTGACGGAGCTGCCAGAACTGACGGAGGTGACAGAACTGACGGAGCTGCCAGAACTGACGGAGGTGACAGAACTGACGGAGCTGCCAGAACTGACGGAGGTGACAGAACTGACGGAGCTGCCAGAACTGACGGAGGTGACAGAACTGACGGAGCTGCCAGAACTGACGGAGGTGACAGAACTGACGGAGCTGCCAGAACTGACGGAGGTGACAGAACTGACGGAGCTGCCAGAACTGACGGAGGTGACAGAACTGACGGAGCTGCCAGAACTGACGGAGGTGACAGAACTGACGGAGCTGCCAGAACTGACGGAGGTGACAGAACTGACGGAGGTGACACATCTGACGGAGGTGACACATCTGACTAGAAGACAATGGGTTACTGGACCACGATGTTTCTGTTATGAAGTGTTTTTCTCATTACAATTTGCTTAACACATTATGGACATATTCCATATTCTTACTATGTGCAGAATATATACGTTTAAGAACAGCTTTTCCATGTTCCAAAGTTTAAATCTTTTTAAAAATCATTTATGAAATTATTTTGCCAATTTGACATTTTTAACTTCATTACATGATTATTATTATTGTTGCAGCCTTTTTTGTAATAAATTCTTTGAAAAAATAGCATATGATTTCTGTCATATAAAGTTGTATTTAACATTCCACATGTGAACATAGGCTACTAGTTTTTTAGACAGACTGATGAAGACCGCAAACACACTATAGGCCTACTAAATTAATTAACCAAACATGGTTATGCACATTTAACCAGGGGTGTTAAATGTGAAGTTTGCTTTCTAAATATTAAACTATTTCTAACCCAAAACATAGTGTCCCAGATTTGAGCATGAGCTGTCCCACATTAGAAAATCCACAAATTCTTTTGGCACAAGGTCCAAAGAGAAAGGAAAAATTTAAATCGCATCATATCACCCCTTTAGGTGCAATATCTGAAAAATGTCTTCTGATTTAGATGGGGAACATCTTTGGGGATTTCATAATGATAAAATATTTTGATTTATTGTTTTGGCTTCATGTGGAAATATGAGACACAATTGCAAAAAGTGTCCCACATTCCCCTAATCCACCCTACTGTCTAAACATGCTGTCCTCCAGGGCCCATGATGTCGGGGTCACAGCTGTGGGCGGTGGATGTGTACGGGCGGGGGTTCAGTCTGTGGGCCGCTGGAGGCCGCTGGAGGCGCGCCGCGGATCTCCTGCTGGAGCTGAAGCGGGTGACGGGCTCTCAACACTGCTGCTGGGGCATCGGCTGCGACCATCAGGTTTATCTCCATGTGTATCCCAGTCAAGTGCCTATACGCCATCAGGAAGAGACCTATGAAAATCAGGTGTGTTGGAACATTTCATCTTAGGCAAACCTTCAATTAATTTGTGATTTATTAGCATGATAAAATACAGTACCTCTGTTTTGGCAAAGCATGCACAATAGTAAAAGCAGTTGTAAAGTAAAACTAATATGTAAAACACTTTGCAAATGAAATAAACTGTTAATATTCACAAATAAAGTCAAATTACAAAAGTGCACAATCAAATCAAATAGCAAAGTAGAGTAAACTAGTACAGAAACAATAAAAACAATGCATATTTATATATAAATTATGAAATATATGTACTGTATATATTAGCCAAAAACTTGGAATAATTAAGATGCTTTAGTGTTTTTGAAAGAAATCTCTTATGCTTACTTATGCTTCATTAATTTATTCAGAAATACAGTAAAAACAGTTACATTTTGAAATATATATAAAAAAAACTATTTTCCATTTTAATATCTGTGATAAAGATTGTAATTTATTCCTGTGATGCAAAGCTGTATTTTCAGCATCATTACTCCAGTCTTCAGTGTCATGTGATCCTTCAGAAATCATTCTAATATGCTGATTTACTGCACAAGAAACATTTTTATCATTATCAGTGTTGAAATCAGTTGTGCTGCTTAATATATATATATTTTTTTTTTGGAAACCGTGATACATTTTTTCAAAATTCTTTGTTAAATAGAAAGTTAAAAAGAACAGCATTTATTTGAAATAGATTTATTATTAATTATTATTTACAGTCTGTTTTGATCAATGTAATGCATCCTTGCTGAATAATAGTAATACTATATTTTTTAAAATCATACTTACCCCAAGCTTTTAAATGGTATATATATTACAGTATATATTATTCTATATTATTATATTATTCCAAAATGTAGGCTAAATCTAAATACACCAAAAGTAGGATAGCAATAATGACCATAAGAATTGTATGTGTGATTGTATGTCTGTTTTACAGAGATGGAACCCAGTTGATGGTTACACAGACACACTCCTCCCGACAGACCGCTGGCAGTGGACGGATGAGTCGGGCTTGAACCCACAACCTCTTCACAGCTTTGTGTTGCCGTCTGCTAACTGGGAGTGGGAGGGCGACTGGTACGTGGATGATGAAAGCTGTGGGAGAGAATCCAGTGAGACAGGGGTGAGTGACACAATCTCAGACCTCTCTAAACACAAGCCATCCTAAACTTAACCTATGGATTCGCCACAAACTCAGCCCACTCTAAACTCAACCCATCCAAACCTGACCTATTGTAAACTTAATCCATAAACCCATAAACCCTTTTGAAAACTTTTGAACAGAATGGAGATGTGTACATTTTTTTTATTTTGCCTAAATATCTTTTTTTTTTGCCTTGTACTCTTCTAGGTTAAAAAAACTGTCGACCATAAAATGTGTCGCACAAATTCGAACATCTGGGTTGTGCTGTTCTGTTGTAAATAAATCTTAACCAATGATTCCTAATTGCATCTACTTCCGGAAGGCCAAATAAAGTGCACTGAAACACAGCGTCTCCCTGACATACTGCATCAACACGACTGCTGTTCCTGAATCCACGCCTTCTTTCTTTGCGTGCACATTTGGGCGGCATTATACAGATCTTATTTATGGACCAAGAGCTTGTAACACTCCAAAGAGAAAGGAAAACTTGAATTCGCATCATATGACCCCTTTAAATTTACCCTGATCTTCAAATTCTCTTAAAGCATTGTGTTTCCTTCTGGAGCATCAGTGAGCGTTTGAACCTTCTGTAATAGTTGCATATGAGTCCCTCAGATGTCCTCAGTGTGAAAAGATGGATATCAAAATCATAGTCACTTTTGAAAAGGGTTCAAATACACAAAAATGCTGGAAAACCAAAGAATTTGTGGGACCTGAAGGATTTTTCTGAAGAACAGCAGGCAGTTTAACTGTTCAGGACAAACATAGGAATCATGAACAACTATGACTAAACAAAAAAAAAAACACACAGCTGTGTTGTTAACACACATAGTTGTTCAGGTGACAACACAGTATTAAGGATGTAAACTTTTGAATTTTTGAACTTTCTGAACTTAAATTCAGCTATTATTTTCTCTTGTGGACTATATGTAAACATCTTTTATGTGAAATATCTTATTCAGGTCAGTAATAAATAAAAAATAACATGCATTTTGTATGATCCCTCTTATTTTGGTAAAAATAATTAACATTTTGCAGATTCTGAAAGGGGGATGTACACTTTTGACCTCAACTGTATTATAATATATTAATGAAATAAAAGGCCACTTAAAGGCACTAAAAGAGACACACGTAAGTATACGTTTAAAAAGTGCAATGTAATAATGTCAATTAAAAGTTTTAGTTTAAAGTACATTTTAAATCATGTTTTAATCATTTTTTGTCCTGCTTTAAAGAAGTACACTTATTTTAATATACTAAAGCACATGTAAAGTACTTGATTATACTTTACCTGTAGTCTTGTTTGATAATACATTTAAAGTTAATATACATTAATTTACCAAATACTTGACATTACAAGTTACGATACAAGTTACATTATATAAGTATATTTTAGTTTATCATAAATGACTGACAGTACATTCAGCAGTACACTAACCATATTTCAAACACAATAGGAGTAATTATGAACTTACATATAAAGATGTACCCAAGTCCTACTTAATTGGGTCAAAAAAGCACTCTATAGTTTAACTAATTGGATTTCAGATAAATTTAAACAATAAAACGTTAAGTGTCTAAAAACATCACATTCAGTTCACACTTAAGTATATTCATTGTCAAGAGGAAAATGAGAAACAAGAGACCAAAAAATGCAGATGAGCTGAAGGCCACTGTCAAAGAAACCTGGGCTTCCATACCACCTCAGCAGTGCCACAAACTGATCACCTCCATGCCACGCCGAATTGAGGCAGTAATTAAAGCAAAAGGAGCCTCTACCAAGTATTGAGTAAATGTACAGTAAATGAACATACTTTCCAGAAGGCCAACAATTAACTAAAAATGTTTTTTTATTGGTCTTATGAAGTATTCTAATTTGTTGAGATAGTGAATTGGTGGGTTTTTGTTAAATGTGAGCCAAAGTCATCACAATTAAAAAAATTAAAATTACTTCAGTCTGTGTGCATTGAATTTATTTTATACACGAGTTTCACAATTTGAGTTGAATTACTGAAATAAATGAACTTTTCCACGACATTCTAATTTATTGAGATGCACCTGTACATACCATACTGATCAGGTCAGTGATCACATTAAATTGATCGAAAGTGACAGTAAAGACATTTATGATATTACAAATGATTTCTATTTAAAATGAATGCTGTTCTTTTAAACTTTAATCAAAGTGTCCTGAAAAATCATGTTTCCACAAAAATATAAACTGTTTCTTGAGCAGTAAATCAGTATATTAGAATGATTTCGGAAGGATCATGTGATACTGAAAACTGACTGGAGTAATGATGCTGAAAATTCAGTTTTGCGTCACTGGAATAAATTACATTTGAAAATATATTCAAATAGAAAAAGGTATTTATTTACAATGTGTATTTTATGTCATAATGTATTTTTGATCAAATAAATCCAGCTTTGGTGAACATAAAAGACTTCCTTCATGAACAATAAAAAATCTTCCCGACTTCAAACTTTTGAACAGTAGTGTATATGAATAAACAAAACATATATCAGTAACAAAAGACAAATCAAAATAATTTTCTGTGGTAAATGACTGAATTTCACAGCTTAAGCTCTATTTAACAAGTCATTTAACCAGTAAGCAGGTTAAAGGGGTCATATGATGCGATTTCAAGTTTTCCTTTCTCTTTGGAGTGTTACAAGCTGATTGTGCATAGATAAGATCCCTGAAGTTGCAAAGACTAAAGTCTCAAAACCAAAGAGATATTCTTTATCAAAGTTAAGACTCTGCCACGCCCCCCTAAAACGGCTCGTTCTAACACGCCCCCACATATCTACCTCACTATGTGGAAATATTTGCATAATGCCACCCAAATGTTCACGCAAAGAAAGAAGGCGTGATTTCAGTAACTGCAGTTAGTGTTGAAGCAGCATGTCAGGGAGACACTGTGTGTTTCTAGGCGAACGCAAAAGCACTTTATTTGGCCTTCCCAAAGTAGATGCAACAGAACAGCAATGCATTTTATGGACGACCGTTTCGTGAACCTAGGAGAGGAGGTAATTCTGACTTTGCTATGACAATCTGGCGCTTCTGAATCAGCTACTGTTTTGTTATTAGTTTAAGTATTTGCTATTGACTGTTCAAATGCGGAGTTTTGCGCATCGTGTGTGTGTGTGTGTGTGTGTCACTGCTGCTCTGTTCTTTATTACTATTTTGAATTGGTTATTTTTATATTTTTATAATTTTAGTCATTTCGTTATATGCTTCTGTCTTTTGTATGACTTTTATTTCTATTTTGCTTTAATTTATATCTATTTCAGTTTTAGTCATTTTAGTACTCTTAAATTTGATTTCAATTAACTGCTAATGCTGTTGCCTTCTAATTCTCATTTAAGTTTATGTTTGTCATCTAATATTTATGGCATTTTATCTCAGCTTTATTCAGGGAACAAAAACAGATTTTTTTAAATGCTCTTAGTTTTAAGGAACAGCACCGACTTGCAGTTGCATTACAGATTTGTGACCACTAGAGCTCACTGCTGTTCTGTGATGTCTGATTTATATTTTGAGCTCAGCCAACACCTCTTTATAGATTTACCACTTGCTAACAAGAATGTGGACAATTTCCCAGCCGAGTGGTTAATTTAAACACTCGCTGAATGTTTTGTCATTTTTATCACGTGTTAAGAAACTCTTCAAGACACCACACAGATCTGAGGTGTGTGTGTATCTCTACACAGCTGTGGTTCCGCACAGGCATCAGACAGCAGAACCCGGAGGGGACGCGCTGGGAACCCATCCAGGTGCCCCGAGAGGTGGCGCAGGTCAGCGCCGGGCCGAAAGACCTGCTATGGCTCGTTCTCTGGGATGGACAACTGCTGGCCAGAACGGGCATCAGTAAAGACTGCCCTAAAGGTCTGACACTGACAGATTTATTCCTGTCCTTTGAATTCACACATATAGTATGCACGTCATACAGTACATGTTTTGAATGACTTACACGTCACTGCTATTTATGGTGAAACTGATCACGGTCACGGTCATGTCAATAGCATGACAGAGGTATGAACATACAGAGGTCCTAAAGAACATGTGGTCACTTGCGCCACAACTTAACATTTCTGAAGTCAATACAAATGCTGCAGGAGGTTGCTGCTGTCGTTTTTGCTCAACGTCTTTGAGTCAGGAGGTGTTTTTGTGATTTTTAGTGCATGTATGAAGTCAGTTCTGCTCAAGTGTCTTAACAGGACACTTTCAGTACAAGTTTCAATAGAAATGACATAAAAGTATATGGTAACACTTTAGATTGGGGAACACACATTCACTATTAACTATGACTTTTTCCTTCAATAAACTAATTTGCTGCTTATTAATAGTAAATAAGGTAGATTTAGTAGTTATGTTTAGGTATGGTGTAGGGTTAAGGCATCTAAAATATGGTCAAGCAGAATAAGGCATTAATATGTGCTTTCTAATAAACATGCTAGTAATATGCATGCTAATAAGCAACTAGATAATCATGAATAGTGTTTCCTAATCTAATTTTATTTATTACAATAACATTCACATTACATTTACATTCAGTTCACACTTAAGTATATTCTTTAAAAGTACATCATTTTTGTTTTCAGGCTCATCGTGGGAGCTAGTGCAGCCTCCAAATCAGAAAGGAGCTGTTCATGTTGCAGTGGGAATCACTGTCGTTTGGGCCATTACTAAAGACAACAAAGTAAGATGGTATTTATTTACTCTATAAATGCTTTACGTTATTTTCCTACCATCAAAGTAATTTGAAAGCAATGTTATCTTCCAATTTCATCAAGTACCTAAAGAAGGGCCACTGTCCTGCTAAGTTCAGCTCCAGCCCTAATTGAACACACCTGATCCAGCTAATCAAGCTCCTCAGAATCACTAGAAACTTCCAGGCAAGTGTGTTGGAGCGGGTTGGAGCTACACTCTGTAGGACATTGGCGCTCCATGAGCAGGATTGGACACCCCTGATCTAGCATGCTGAATGAATTGAAAGTAGTATTAATAGTAAAAATGATTCAGATGATAACTCGTGCCTTGTGTGTCAGTGTAGCATGCTACTGAAATATCTGTTGTTTCATAATGAGTTTCATATACACTTAAAAAAAAAAAGGAAGTACACAGTGTATAAGAAAATGCAGTAAACGCAGTGTGCAATGTGTAAATGCAATGTGTTTGTGTGTGTGATAGGTCTGGTTCAGGAGGGGTGTGAATTCCCACAATCCTACTGGCTCAGGCTGGATCAGTATTGGTGGAGAGATGGTGATGCTTAGCATGGGGCCCAATGACCAGGTGAGATCAGTGAGGTATCATGTTATACTGCCGTTCTAACAATACAAACATACACACACTCACTTTACAACAGTGTACAGCCAGATGGTCCAGAGGCAACTAGGGGGCTTGAGTGCAATTTCAATAGGGCGACAAGATGAATTCAAATCTTCAAGTAATTACATTATAGTAATATTAAAATGACATTAAAGTAATATAACTTAATTAAAATGCTGACATCATGTAGGAGAGAGCCTTAGAATTTTGTCTTTGACATCCACTGCCAAATTTGATATTCTGGTCTCTAGATATGGCTAAGATACTTAAAAGTAGGTCCATAGGATTTTTCAATGGTTTTATTGTCCACCAGGTGAAAATCATAAGTCATATCACCGCATGATTTGTGGTATCATTCATGTCTGTAGAGCAAAAAGTGCAGGTTGAGTTACATAGGGTTATGGGTTTTTCAAATCATTTACCATAAGTACGAGCAATAATAGTGATATTTGCCTTAGCAAACTCCACTAACAAGTGATGTATCAATCTGGATAAGTTCAGTGCACTCACACAATGCTTTAATCACTGTTGCCGATATCATATTTCATCTGGTGAAATAATCATTTTCTCCTGTGTGGACAACTCTAGTGGTCCCAGTACTTGTCCTTGTGGGACACCCTTCTGAGGTAGGGTGGGGGCCAGACAGGTCTAATTACACTTCTGTTCTCACATGTAGCTTTGAGGATTAACCATCATTAGATCCTCTGACCAATATGTGCTCCCTGCACGGCAGGCCGACTGTATTCACTGTCCTTGTTTATGCGCACAAACACCCATCGTCCAATCACCTTCTTCAGCTCACACTGACCCCTCCCTCCTGCCGGGACGGGCATGTATGGTCTGGCAGAGTCGGGTGTCCGTGGGTGTTGGTTACTAGAGCCGCTGAGTCTCAGTGTGGAGTTTGCAAGCGATGCAAACTTCGTCTCTGCATCTCTCTCTCTCTGTAACTGGAACCTTAGACCACCTGGCTCTTCTTGTTGCCCACTGCCTCCTCCATCTCAGCCCAGCCATATATATACACCTCCAATTCTTTCGCCCGCACACAGCCATATGGGAGCATCTAATTTGAGTTTGGCCGCTCTCCACTATTCCATACTTCACATTTCATTACTAACCGCGCGGGCCGTGTATCTTATGTGTTCAGCTCAGCTGCGACGCTCATATTTGATCCTGTTCCTCAATTTGGCTTAATCAGAAACAATATCCTGTCTATGAGAACTATGTCAGCACATAAAAAGAAGATCGTCTCATAGCATGATGATTTTCTGATGCCAGCTTCATTATGATGCAGTTGATATGGGGGATTTTATTGTAATTTATTATTGTTTGGCTGTCTAGTGCTTGATTGTGATAAATAACAGGTCAGTCAAGCATTCTGTGGTCATATATTTCTGTGTAATGACCAGAAGTGTAACACCCATTCAAACTTCAGTCAGAACTTCAAATGTTTATACATTAACAGTCAAAAGTTTGGCATCTGTAAAATTTCTTAATGTTTTTAAGAAATATGCTCACCAAGGCTACATTTATTTGATCAAAAATACAGTTAAAAGCAGTAATATTGTGAAATATTATTACAATATATATTTTTTATACTTTAAAATGTAATTGCATTTTTTATTATATATTTTATATTACATAATATAATATATTTTAAATTGTAACATATGAAGTTAGTAAAATAAAGGCTGCAAAACACCAGAAGGTCATTAGTTAGTGTTTGTTATAGTTTGTCCCATTAGGTTGTGTTATCTATTTTGACCCATATGTTTTGATATCTCAGCTTGAAGACGCTTTGTAAGAACTGAGAGACTGTGGCTGGTGTGATATAAAATATCAGTTTATTTTATGTGTGTTTGTTTGTGACACAGGTATGGGGGGTTGGCAGCGATGACCGCACTGTGTATTTTCGTCATGGCGTGACAGCCACAGAGGTCACTGGCAGGTCATGGGTGGCAGTGTCAGCTCAGCTTGATGGCAGTGAAAGCACAAATCATTCCAGGTAGTTGAAAAACACTGTACAGAACAGTAATTCCTGACCAGGCATACTTAAATAGGTTCCAGAGAGTATTTAAAAAAGATTTTGATTTGTTACACAGAGTTTATGAATTTAAAGTAGAAACATTAAAGCACATTCAGTTTTACACTCTTCTTTTTTTTTTAACCCTATAAAGTCTAGTACATCATATTTGATACATGCATCTAAGGCCTCTGAATTATCAACATGATCAAAACCTTGCTATAATTCCTGACCAGGCATACTTAAATAGGTTCCAGAGAGTATTTAAAAACCCTATAAAGTCTAGTACATCATATTTGATACATGCATCTAAGGCCTCTGAATTATCAACATGATCAAAACCTTGCTAAAAAAAAACTGCTGTATCTACTACATGCCTTCTGTCTGATTGATAGTCCATACATTTTTAGCAAGTAAAAGGTCTTTTAGTGTAATTGTAAAAACATTCACCTTGAGGTCATGATACACGTGTCTTTTTGTCTCAAATTGTCTTTAATGATTTTAATGAAGTAAACATAAGAATAACCATTATATTGTTATTAATATTTCAAGAAGACTATTTACTGGACTGAAGCAACTTAGCTTTACTTTATCCGTACATCATTTTTCAGGAAAATAATCTTAAAATGTATCAAATACAATACATAAGGCTTTTGAGGAACAGTTATTTGTTCATCTGTCAGTCATCATTGCATAGTATAGCATTTTATATTATATTTGAAATATTAGCAACTGCACCAAATTGCATATTTTGGCTCAGTTTGTGTCTCTTAATAAAACTAAGGTGATTTTTCCTTCTCGAGTCTGAGCTCCATATTCTCACTATTATCATATTTTATGAGGCATAAAAGCCTAAAGTTTCAAAAATGATACCCAATTAAAAAAAAACACATATGCAAAGCAATTAAAAAACACATATGCAAAGGGTTTTTTGTTGTTGTTATTTGTTGTAGATTTTCTTTTATATTCTCAATAAACTGTTACATTAAAAAAATTGAAAACTGTTATGTACAGGATTTTATATGTATATATATATACACACACACACACATATATATATATAGCTGCATTATACTTTCTAAAGGTTTAACAATGAATAGACAAGTATTATAACTGATTTCAATTATTCATGAGAGTATATAATACATTATAAGGTGCATTGCAAAGCAAAATGAATACTTTTATAATTGCATTATATATAAAGGCTTCAAGTAAAGTGATAAAAGAAAAATTTATAAATTATAAAAAATTATAAATGTGTAAACTCATGCACTATATTCAATTTTACAGTGGTATAAGTTCAAGAATAATGCATCAAAACTTGTTATACTAGGCTTGATGTTGATGATGCCTTACAGCAAAACGCATGCCCCATTTTAATACAAATATAGATTATATTTTTTATAAATATAGAAATAGATTTATAAGATACAGCAGATGGGAATATTTTTGACTTTTGATATCCTTATCCAATATCCTTAACTAGCAAAAATCATCATAATCCACAACATTGTTACAGTCAATATTGTTAAAATTATTTAAAATCTGTAGAAAAAAATATTGTCTGTGTTTTTTATGTTCTGTGAGTTGAATTATTGAGCTTGAGAAGGGCAGTGTACACTACTGTTCAAAAGTTTTGGGTCAGTAAAAAAAACGTATTTATTTATTTTCATTTTTGAAAGAAATTAATACTTATATTCAGCAAGGATACATTAAATTGTTCAAAAGTCAGTAAAGATTTATAAATACTTATAATACAAAATATTTCTATTTCAAATAAATTCTTTCTAAGTTCTTTTGAACTTTCTATTCAGCAAATAATTCCAGTAAAATATGAAGCAGCATACATTTTTTTAACACTTTGATAATTAAGAAATGTTTCTTGAGCAGCAAATCAGCATATGAAAATGGTTTCTGAAACATCATGTGACACTGAAGACTGAAAATACAGCTTTGCATCAATAAATAATTATTAACTGGTTATTATATAATAACCAATAAACTATATAATAATAAATAATAAAAAGAATAAATAACTAATAAATTAAAAAAGATATGCAATTAAATAACATGTATTTTAAATTGTAATAATATTTCACAATGTTAGTGTTCTTAGTGTGTGTGTGTGTGTGTGTTTTGGACTGAATAAGTGCAGCTTTGTTGAGCGTAAAATGCTTCTTATAAAAACTTTTTTTAAATAGTTGTGTAAGGTGTTACTCCTTCAGTTATGTCAGAAAAATAATGAAAAAATTGGACAGGGAGGTTGGTGGTGGGAAACAAATTCTCCCTTTTCTGTATGCCGTTTTATAGAAACTAGTCTCTTTCTCTCTGATTCTGTCAGATCCCGGGCCGCTCTCTCCATCCATCACACCTGCCCTCAGTGCTCTGGACACAGACACTCGGACAAGAGGAGCCCAGCATGATGAGAGAGATGCTTCTATAGAGAAGGTAAATGCACTGTGAGCAGGCCTTTGTGCATCACACGAGAGGAAGAGTCAATGGGACATCTCAAACACTGATGTATATGTGTGTGTGTGTGTGTGTGTCTCTCAGTCTGTGCGTGTGACGAGAGGTTGTATGTGTTGGTGGAGGGACTGGATGCCTCATCAGTGGGAGGATGTCAGTGTGATGCTGGAGCAGGTCACCGGTGCTGGAGCTCAGACAGGAGACATCCTTTACCTCTACTACACTCACGACCAGGAGAAGAAGGTGCGACTGTGAAAAATAAGTGTACTTTAGCATTATAGCACAAAGATTACTTATTGTGGAAATAATATAATTGAAAGAATATACTGAAGTGCAAACTGAATACAATTTTTTAATATGAAACGGTATTATAGTTTAAGTTGCAATTGAATACATTTTAAAAATATCAACTTTAAATGTAATATCAAATAACACACTACAGTAAAATTATAATCAAGTACCTAAATGTGCTTTAGTATGTTAGCCAACACATCAAAATAAGTGTACTTCTTTAAAGCATGAAGCATTTAAAATGTGCTTTAAATGAAAACATTTCATTAAGTTTTAAATTCAAAAAATCACACACGCCACTCAAACTTACTAGATCACTGAATACTGTATCTACAGTAAGTCTACAAAAAAGAATCAAAACCAAATCATGAAATCCAGCAAAAAATTTTTTTACTAAACATTATGGACTGTAAACAAAAGAAACACAATCTTAAGTGAAAAAGAAGGAAAAAATGACAAAAACAACATATCGATCCACAAAACAAAATCAGCATTTGTGCTGTAACCATCATTATACACCGCATTTCTTATCAGTAATAAAACATTCATCATAAATATCAATTTTTGGCATCACTTAACACATAACTTTTTGTAAAGTTTAAAAGTGTGAGAAACGTGTCTCTCTTATAGTGCACTGAAGTGGCCTTTTATTTCATTGATATATTATCTACAATAAGATTTTTTTTTAAATACACTTTTAAGATTTGAAGTACACTACAAGTGCATATTCAATACAATTAAGCAACACAACAGTGTATCAGTATAACAATATATCAACAGGCACAAGTTGACTACATTTTTAAAAGTTTAGGAATAAAAAAGTTTGTGAAACCATTAATTGAATGCCTTTACAAATGAATGAATTAAGATCAAAATGTGTTGTTGAAGTAAAGTGTTCTCAGACTGTATTAGTGTAAATAACTCCATGATTCTTCTGATGTGTGTGTCAGTATCTGTATGCTGTGATAAAGGAGGTGACGGCCCTGGTGCCCGTGTTCAGGGACTCTCTGTACACTATGGCTGTTTACACGCCAGAGAGAACCAAACAGAGACTCCCAATTTTACTGGCAACTCCCTCTCAACAAGACTTCAACACCTGGGTAAAATGCACTTGTGAACAGCACATCTGTTTAAAAGGATCTCTATGTGACATAAAGCACATACGTGATGAACTGTGAACTGTATCCATACATCTTACCAGTCATGATCCTGTATTTGCATAATGTTAATTAAAAATAAATAAATAAATTCCTCTCATGAAAAACACATTTCTGCACAAAATCAAGGGAAAAAATTAGTACTGTCAAATGATTAATCGTGATTAATCGCATCCATTTCCGTACCCACTGTATATACACACACACACACACACACACACACACACACACACACACACACACAGAGTATATATTTTTTAAATACTTACATGTATATACATTGATATTCTTATATTTTATATTATACATAAATATATATTTAATATATAAACAAACATTTTTTCTTAAATATATACATGCATGTGTTTGTATTTATATATACATTATAAATATACAGAGTATACACACATTTATTATGTAAATAAAAACTTTTATTTTGGATGCGATTAATCACGATTAATCGTTTGACAGCACTAAGTGTAAATACATGTAAATATTTTCAAAATACATGCTGTATGTGTGTGTATTTTTATATAAATAATAGATATACACAATACACACACATATTATGTAAACAAAAACTTTTATTTTGGACGCGATTAATCGTTTGACAGCACTATATATATATATATGTATTTGCATATAGGAAACAAAGATTTATTGCATTGTGATTTTGTTTACCCCCAAAACACATTTTACCCCAACATTTTCATGATCATCAATCTTCTTGACGAGTTTAGGGTGTTTTTGATTGCACTGCAGAATGAGAGTGACGAGTGCTTTCTGTCTGTGTGTGACCGTTGCAGCTGTCTCTGTTGAACGAGTCGTGTTGTGCGTCCAGGGGTCTTGGAGAGCATCCATCCAAACAGGCCCTGTGGGCTGTGACATGTAAAGGTGACGTCATGGTGCATGAGCCGTCACCCAGCCTGGAAGCCCCGGCGCAGTACTTACCCTGCGACCACATGTAAGAACGTCCCCATTTGTCTGTCTGACGGCCGTTTTCTCGCACTATAACTCTGTTCTAAACCTAGTGAGCTGCTTCACTGTCCTTCACGTGCCAAAACAAATGGTGCTCCTCAAGAAGACTTTAATCACAATTGATTTCCATAGAGTTTGGCATTAGCATGATGCTAAGCTAACAACACAATATTATAAAAGCATGAAACACAGCCTGATGTTTAAATAGTTGGCATTTCTATACAGTTTGGCCATTATTAGCAGCAGTCTTGTGGAGCATTACTTTTAAAAGTACTTTTACTTTTTATGGAAAGTAATGCATTCTGTTACTTTTTAAAATATTTTGGTCACCTGGGCTGGGCTTGCTTGTTTGTTTTCAATAACAAAAACCCCAAAAGTTATATTTTTGATGACATATTTTTCTTGTGGCCACGAGTTTAATGCGTAAACAAACCTGCGTGACCATAGTAACACAAGATTATCAGAGATGGATTTATTAATATTTTATTTTGAATTAAGAAATTATGGTATTAATTATTATAGAACTTATTACATGATTAAATGATTATATTAACCATAGGCTTAGGCTACCGGACTGTAGGCCATTGCACGCGATGTAGACAGCATTCAAATTAAGTTTATCATGAATAAATGTTACATAAAGTACATCAAATAAAATAGGCCTACAAGAAAACATTTTTATCCATCTCACAGTCTTGCTGTGTCTATTAACTGATTGTCTTTTTCTGTAATATTTGTATATTATTATTATTATTATTAGCCTGTTATTATGCTTTTATAGGCCTATTCGTTTTTTCCCTTCATTTCGATCTCTTTACATAACATTATGACTAGTTTTGTAAATAATAGCCTACTGTAAACGCTCGACATGCCAATCAATTTTTGATTATGCTGACTGGAATTTATAGCCTTCTGGAAGTGCAGTTTTAGCGAATTAATAATTATAAACATTATAGTTTTTCGTTGAGGAATGAATCATTCACGTAGTTTCATTTGTAAATGAAAACACAACACGCTCATTTATCATCACACACGGTCATAAATACAATCATAAAGTACTGGCATAATTGTCAGGCATTTACAGTATTTGCAAAATATATGGTAGCAAATATAATTATACAGAACATTAATTAGGTAAAGCAATACATGAATTGAAAGGGGAAATAATAAAATATATTTATATGAAATATAAAAATATAGCCCTAACAAGTTAATAGAATAATAATAATAATAATAATGTTTTTTCCATCTCTGATAATCCTGTGTTACTATGGTCATGCAGGTTTGTATATGCATTAAACTCGTGGCCACGAGAAAAATATGTCGTTCCCTCAACAAAGAATCTCGAAGCCACGACATAAGGATGTCGTTACCTCGACAAAATGATCTCGTGGCCACGACATACTATCACGTTCCCACGAGTTAATATGACACGGCCACAACAAAATTAAAGGGTTAGTTCACCCAAAAATTAAAATTAGGCCATAAATTACTCACCCTCAAGGCATCCTAGGTGTATATGACTTTCTTCTTTCAGACGAATCCAGTCGGAGTTATTGCGTTTTTGTAATAAAAATATCGATATTCAAAACGTAATAATCACTTGAATCTAGCTTGCGCCAGCAGTTGTACACAGAAGCAGTTCTGGGAGGATGACGTATGAGGTCAGAGTTGCGCATGCGCCGGTGAGTCTCGTGAAAACCAACGTTTTTTAACAGGAGCAAAGGAAGCAAAGTTTCCTTACGTTAGCAAAGGAAAACCAGTCTCCTCTTGGCTTATAGCGAAATCCTCCGACATTCTTCTTTACAAATCCTCGTTTTGTACTTCTAATTAGTGACCGTTGTTTGGTTTTGATCTCTCAGCTGCACTTTCGCGTTCGTCACTTCTGAGCGGCGCATGCGCAAAGTCGAACTCATACGTCATCCGCCCAGAACTGCTTCTGTGTACAACAGTGAGCGCAGGCTACATTAATGTGATTATTACATTTTGAATATCGATGTTTTTATTACAAAAACACATCGATTCGCTACAGGAGGCCTTTGTTCACCCCCCGGAGCCTCATATTTCATCAAAAATATCTTAAATTGTGTTCCGAAGATGAACGAAGGTCTTACGGGTTTGGAACAACACGAGGGTGAGTAATTAATGACAGAATTGTAATTTTTAACCCTTTAATAGGCTACTTTATCAAAAGAGTAAATAAACTTAGAATACTTAATTGTACTTTTTTAAATTCAGTACAAGTATAGGCCAAATATACTTATACCTTTCGGTGTACTTGTCAGCATAAGCCAACTATATTTAAGTGGATTTTTGAATTTCTGATAGCTATATAAAAAGTTCACTGAACGTATACTCTCTTATTTGGATGCCTTGAGGGTGAGTAATTTATGGGCTAATTTTTATTTTTGGGTGAACTAACGCTTTAAGTGAACCAAACAAGTCCCCTCTTGGTCACTGTAGAAAACGTAAGAAAAGTATGTAGAAAAGTAAGTTGCGCTACTTATTTGAAAAAGTAACTCAGATATTTTCTTATAAATTTAAAAGTAATGCATCACTTTACTAGTTATTTGAAAAAAGTAATCTCAAAAATGTAACTCGCGTTAATGCGTTACCTCCAACACTGATTAGCAATTACTTTGAAACTAGCCAAGGTACTTTTTGAATAGAGAGTTAGTTATACTGCAGGTTACTAAGAAAAGGTAACTAATCAGTTGAAATGATTTACAGTATAATTCATAACTTAATCAGAGCCATATATCTCTTGATTTGAGGGCTTTTAAATGAATTAATATTGATTAGGGTGACGACATTAAACTTATATACAATTACGCTAAATACATCTAAAAAGAGAATATAACTAGAACATGAAATACTGCCTCAAAGAAGCCAAAATGTGTTTGTGGGTGGAATCTGCTCTGTGTGGAGTCTAACAGTCTGGGTGTGGTGTGGGGCATCGCTCACGATCACACCGCCTGGGTCTACACGGGGGGCGGCGGGGGACCGTCTGCTCAGGGTAAACATGCACCCTGCTGTCATCCCTGTCCCTCTTACTAACCTACATCTAGGTTTGACCCTGCAAGATGAACATATGCTGGTTTGGTTGCTGGTGTGCTGATGTTCCCATGAGGCTTCACTAGCAGAGCTTTCTTGGTCGAACTGCTTAACCAGAAAGACCAAGATTTGCATCATGGTCCAGCAGTCAGACCAGCATCAAACCAGCATAAACCAGTCTAGACCAGTATAAGTTCTAAGCTGAACTTTGCAGCAGGATATACACTGCACAGTAAGCAGTATGCTAGTACTGTATTCAAAACATAGTCGCTGATCTTCCCAAACATTGGGTCTCATTCACTATAATAATTGCACGGATTACTCATATTACGCGATTACTCGCAATTTGCATAAAACGCACCCAAATCATCTCCTTTCTCCTTCATTTAAATAATTAATGAATTAAATCTTATAAATTCACTGTAAACCACGCCTTCACAGGGCTTATTGCTTTTATAAAATGGTTATTCCATATACGTAGTAGTTTCACAAAATAAAACAGAACAAATAAAGTGTAATGCAATGTAGTTCCTCAGAAACAGTTGTGGTTAACTAATATCAGGGCTCAACCAATCAGAATCAAGAGAATTATCCATTTTACAAGAAACCATTTTTACTCATAATTCATAGTTAGGAAATGTGACCCAGTGTTTTCTTATTTACCCATTTGTATTTTCATTTCAAATGTGCTTTCATTCAGGATCAGAATATCAAATCTTTATTTTAGAGAAACTCTATCTAGTTGCTTCTGCCCGGTGTTTGAATCTCATTCATTTCAGGAAATGAAAACCTTAACCAAGCAATAAGTGATGTGAGGAGTGTGTCCATCTATGAGAACCAGCGCTGGAACCCAATGACAGGATACACAGACAAGTGCGTGTCATTTCCCTGAGCTCTGCTGCTTGTTTACTGTACCTGCTGTAAACGCTCCGTGTCTGCTGTGGTCCGCAGGGGTCTTCCCACAGATCGTTACATGTGGAGTGATGCTTCAGGTCTGAGAGAGTGTACCAAAGACAACACCAGCCCTCCCTCACCGACGTCAGGTTCCTGCTCATCTGCTCTGTGTGGAGTCTAACAGTCTGGGTGTGGTGTGGGGCATCGCTCACGATCACACCGCCTGGGTCTACACGGGGGGCGGCGGGGGACCGTCTGCTCAGGGTAAACATGCACCCTGCTGTCATCCCTGTCCCTCTTACTAACCTACATCTAGGTTTGACCCTGCAAGATGAACATATGCTGGTTTGGTTGCTGGTGTGCTGATGTTCCCATGAGGCTTCACTAGCAGAGCTTTCTTGGTCGAACTGCTTAACCAGAAAGACCAAGATTTGCATCATGGTCCAGCAGTCAGACCAGCTTCAAACCAGCATAAACCAGTCTAGACCAGTATAAGTTCTAAGCTGAACTTTGCAGCAGGATATACACTGCACAGTAAGCAGTATGCTAGTACTGTATTCAAAACATAGTCGCTGATCTTCCCAAACATTAGGTCTCATTCACTATAATAATTGCACGATTACTCGCAATTTGCGTAAAACGCACCCAAATCATCTCCTTTCTCCTTCATTTAAATAATTAATGAAAACTGATTTGCTTTTAATAAAGCAATAAGCCCCAAGAAGCCGTGGTTTACAGTGAATTTTAACAGCTAAGGGGCGTTGTTGTATAACAGCTAAAACCCCCTTAGCTGTTATAAATTCACTGTAAACCACGCCTTCACAGGGCTTATTGCTTTTATAAAATGGTTATTCCATATACGTAGTAGTTTTACAAAATAAAACAGAGCACATTAAGTGTAATGCAATGTAGTTCCTCAGAAACAGTTGTGGTTAACTAATATCAGGGCTCAACCAATCAGAATCAAGAGAATTATCCATTTTTACTCATAATTCACACAAATTCATGTATATCATGCACAGTTAGGAAATGTGACCCAGTGTTTTCTTATTTACCCATTTGTATTTTCATTTCAAATGTGCTTTCGTTCAGGATCAGCATATCAAATCTTTATTTTAGAGAAACTCTATCTAGTTGCTTCTGCCCGCTGTTTGAATCTCATTCATTTCAGGAAATGAAAACCTTAACCAAGCAATAAGTGATGTGAGGAGTGTGTCCATCTATGAGAACCAGCGCTGGAACCCAATGGCAGGATACACAGACAAGTGCGTGTCATTTCACTGAGCTCTGCTGCTTGTTTACTGTACCTGCTGTAAACGCTCCGTGTCTGCTGTGGTCCGCAGGGGTCTTCCCACAGATCGTTACATGTGGAGCGATGCTTCAGGTCTGAGAGAGTGTACCAAAGACAACACCAGCCCTCCCTCACCGCAGTGGACATGGGTACAACAGCACACTATCTCGCAAAAAGATTGCATTCTTGAGCAGCCTGTAGTATTTCTAGTGCACTGTACCATTTGGAGTATTGTATCGATTAGTTATTGTCTGTGACTGATATCTGCATCTCACTCTCACAGGTTTCTGATTGGGCTGTTGACTACGGTGTCCCAGGAGGGACAGATAAAGAGGGCTGGCAGTATGCTGCAGATTTCCAAGTGTATGTTGACTTTAAACCTATTAACAGAACAGTAACTAGACATTTATATATCTCAAGCTAATATATGTTTTATGTTCGTTCAGGACGTTTCATGGTTATAAGACGATGAAGGACTTTGTGCGACGCAGGCGGTGGGCTAGGTTAGTTCACATTTTTTAACTTAAATGATTTTAGCAAATGGCTGCAATATAACAGAGTGAAAAATTTAAGGGGGTCTGAATACTTTCCGTACCCACTGTACATATCTATGGTCTGCACTGGATGCAGCGCAACACGACAAATCCCCGACAGAAAACTGCTGCTGCATTCTATTCATGACATATTGACAAAAATTTCAAATGATTTTCAATGGTCGCTTTTTCGCATCCAGACTTTAGCTGTTGCGGCGCATACATGGTGTTACTCACCTATGGAGAAGAAACAAAGCAACCTCGGTGTCCGATCGCAGTCCTCCGCTCTTTGAGTTCTCTCCAGCGCTGGAAAGCTGATCCGATAATGGTCGCTTTTTCGCATCCAGACTTTAGCTGTTGCGGCGCATACATGGTGTTACTCACCTATGGAGAAGAAACAAAGCAACCTCGGCGTCCGATCGCAGGCCTTCCGCTCTTTGAGTTCTCTCCAGCGCTGGAAAGCTGATCCGATATTTGCACGGGTCCTACTTATTGCCTTAAGCCTTCGTTTGTTCCGCAGACGTTTTCCTCTTTTGTTTTTTATCCGCCATCTCTATCTTTCTGTCGCTCGGCTCGCTAATGTTTGTCTTGTGCTGTGTACGCTCTCTTCTCCACATCATGAGTAGACACGCCCCTTACTGCTGATTGGCTACAAGTTTGTTTTGCTAGTCGGCCCAAATCAGTTTTCTAAAGCGTTTTTGAAAAATCGCTTACCCCACCTTTAAGTCCCAGAAAAGTAATGTCTGGTTCTATCAAACAGTTTCAGTGTACCGTAGACATAAATAACACATAACTGAAAAAAATATTAATAACCCATGACATGGAAATTTAAAGTCAGTGCAAGTTGGAATTAATTACACCCCTTCACACCACATTAATTGTCATATTTTTTAAATATACAGCCAATATGTTTGTACTTTTAAATATAGAGTGTGACATGACCAATAAAAATGTAAATATGTACTAGCAATGTATTGAAAAATACTATGATGATATCATTTCCTCAAATATAATGTCGAATAGAACAAAAAATATACAAATTAATATTAATACACAAAACATTTTTATTCAGCAAGAACACATTAAAAATCTATTCATCAAAGAATCCTGAAAAATATGCATCACAGTTTCCACATAAGCATTAAGCAGCACAATTGTTTTGAACATTGATAATAATCTGAAATGTTTCTTCAGCAGCAAATCCGCTTATAAGAACACTTCAGTGACACTGAAGATTGGAGAAATTATGTTGAAAATTCAGCTTTATCATCACAGGAATAAATTACATTTTAAAAACCTTTAAAGGGTAGTATGTATGACTTAGGGGGAGGGACATTATCATTTTGGAGAGCATTTAACGGAGCATATGAAGTGAATATATAGCATATATCGTTGACTTCAGAAGCTATTAGACAAATCCTTTGTATTGACTTCTTGGGGTTTTTATTTGTAATTTTCCTCAGAATGAATATCCTCCTCTCGTCTCTGTTCTTATATTGAGTTAGTGCGCATATTCGATGGGGCGTCCTCTAACCTCTAACTCTCTGAAACCACAGGGTAACTCCTGGCTCCATGTGGGCACAGACCAGCCCTTCAAGTCTATTTGCATAGGAGGAGGCCACCAGGTGTGGGCCATCGCCAGGGACGGTGCCGTCTTCTACCGGGGCTCCGTGTCTGCCCACAATCCAGCTGGTGAGATCACAGGATCATCCTGATGGAAAGCGTGACGTTTTCAACTAGAAAATGATGGACATTCTACAATATGTAAACTACTGCTGGTTCTGGTTTTCCAATTTGAGCAACTTACAGTAGTTGATAAATGTGATTCAGTGCATGAAGTACAAGACCTTTTTGCACTTTGAAAAAGTGATTTTTAAGGTAAATTACATATCTCTGAAACCACAGGGTAACTCCTGGCTCCATGTGGGCACAGACCAGCCCTTCAAGTCTATTTGCATAGGAGGAGGCCACCAGGTGTGGGCCATCGCCAGGGACGGTGCCGTCTTCTACCGGGGCTCCGTGTCTGCCCACAATCCAGCTGGTGAGATCACAGGATCATCCTGATGGAAAGCGTGACGTTTTCAACTAGAAAATGATGGACATTCTACAATATGTAAACTACTGCTGGTTCTGGTTTTCCAATTTGAGCAACTTACAGCAGTTGATAAATGTGATTCAGTGCATGAAGTACAAGACCTTTTTGCACTTTGAAAAAGTTATTTTTAAGGTAAATTACATATATTGTTAAAATAAGGAGAAATTATGCAAGTAACAAGTCTTTTAAAACACTTAATACTATTTTCTTGTTTTCATAAAACTTTATTGTTTGTGCTATGTCATTATTTACATGTAGAAAAACGAAAAATTACAGGCACACTTATTTTGTCAAATGACTCATTAAGGTTTCTTTGATTTCTCAGGTGAGTGCTGGTATCACATACCATCTCCCCCGAAGCAGACGCTCAGGCAGGTGTCTGTGGGCAGGACCTCCGTTTATGCTGTGGATGAAAACAGTGAGACAACTGTTCCCACTCACTTCTTTTTTTTATTTGGTTTATTTATTTGAATCAAGCTGTATGGGGAATCACAGGCTCTAAGTGACTGTTTCTCCTCATTATGAAGTGTGAAGAGAGATATAGTAGTAGGCAGTATGCAGTGAACAAGTAAGCAGTAATCAATATGCCATTGAGAACATTGTAGCACATGGAAAGCAGATCTCTCTCCAATCAAGTTTGAGCTCAGTGTGTGTATGTTTTTTTTTTTGCAGATAATCTGTGGTACAGACAGGGTTTGACACCCAGCTATCCTCAGGGTTCTGCATGGGAGCTCATCTCAAGTAATGTGTGTAAGGTGTCTGTTGGACCACTGGACCAGGTTTGAAACCTTTTACTTCCCGTTAAAACCACTAAAGAACATTTAATCTTACATAGACAAACAGTGAAAAAAGGAGGCACATGATGTGTACTTCAAGTATATATTTAAAATAATATAACATTAATGATGAATAAAAAACATTGCGGTAGTGAGTTTGCACGTTAAAATTTTGTATGATCTTATGTAACCAGGGTTTTTTTTTCTTCTAGACTACCTAGCAGATCACTACCTTTTCATTAGTGTAAATTAAAAGATATCTGACCTAACAAAAGTATGGTGTACCACAAGGCTCAATTTTAGGCCCTTTGTTGTTCTCATTGTACATGTTGCACAGCTCTGTATGCTGAAAGCTTTGGCTTCCTCTTTTCACTATTATTTCATCCTGCATTTCTGTTATAGCATTAATCTTTCCTTTACCCACTTTCTTTGGGACTCTCCTCCTAAGGTTTACTAGCTTATACACCCCCGTCCAACTACCCAAATATAAATAATAATGTTTCCTAGGTTTTATTGCTTTGATGGTTATGAAACTGGAAAGTGGTCGTAATGTATCTGTCCAGGTTTGGATAATCGCTGATAAAGTGCCAGGTTATCCATCAGAGAGCTCAGGAACGGTGTGCCACAGACTGGGAGTGAAGCCCATGCAGCCCAAAGGCCTGAGCTGGGACTTTGGCATTGGGGTGAGTTTTTCCACATTAAGTCTAATGCTAAACTGTGCCTTCCTCCAAAAAAAAAGAAATAATAAAAATTGGTTTAGAAAGCTAACTGATTTGATTGTCATACAAAGAAATTGACCTAGCTTCCAAATTTAAATAGAGCATCATTTCAGTACAATATTCTACATTCAGGTTAAAGATGCATTTTTGTTTTTAAATCTTGTAATTAGTATCAACAGATCTTTACTCTGAGAGTCATTTCTTCAACTAATGCACTAAAACAGGGTAGATGGGAGCACCTGTCTGTGAGAGGGAACTCTATAGAGGCCCAGCGTATGGCACCTCGCAGTCCAATGCCCAGCCGCACACAGAGTCAGGTGAACGGGAATGTTGTGGGCTGCTAGATATAGTGCCCACCTACCACCATCATCATCACTCACCTTCATCATGCTTTACGGCATTTCCCAGTTTGCTGTTCTTTACACCCTTCCTGTCTCTGTGTCCTGTGCCCTTCCAACCAAGTGTGACTATTTATTTTTGATTCCACTTGCCTGAATAACAAACATCACTTTTCTGGGTGTGACATTTGATTACTGTATGTGTATGATTTGAATCACCCGATCCACTAATGTCTCTTTGTTTTAAGCATGTTATGTTATTTATTGTTGCTGTATTTGTTTCTGTAATGAGTAGAAGACCATTTTATGTTATTGGTTTGATTATATTATTCGAAAAATATTTTATTTCAGTCCGCTTGCATTGTCAGAGACACAACTGCCCTACTGTGATCTAACCACTGACATGCTGGGGGGTTTTCCCCCCAATAAAGATCTGTTAAAAAGCACCAGCTTGTTTTCATTTGTGAGTTTAAGAAAATATATTTCTGCGGAATTGCAAAAATACACACAAAAAAGGGTTTCTAAAAACCTGTTCTTGATCAGACGGTTCTACCCCAAACGCACACCAATGCTTGCTCCTGTAAAATCAAAGTATCTGTGAAACATGCATGACAACGGATTAAAACAAGACATAGAAGTTCATTGTCATTTAATTCCATAATAAACAGAGCAATTAATTATAAACCATTCCTTCAGTGACACTAGACATGATCATCATCATCAATATGAAGTAAAAATATCACCATTTTTTAAAATGTACAAGTTATAAGGACATGATGACCTGCATTTCCCCATTTAATTCATCATTAATTTGTCTTTTTCGATCACTTCGGTCACATTTTAGCTTTAAATTACAAAATCAGTCATCACATCGTTCCCAATTTACAGACAAAATTAAGCATTTATATACAGGAGAACAATTCAACATTAAGTTACACTTTAAAGATGTGCAAGATTAAGCAAAGTATACTGTAGAATAAAACCTAAAGAATTTCCTTTCATAAAATTTCACGTTGAACTGAAATCGAGTGCTGGTAATACAGATAGTCAACAGGTCTAAAACACAGAGATCACTGTACTGAATTACAAGGGGATGTAGACGATATGCACCCGATTATTATAACCTCTACAAATAATCAGCCTCCCAATTTATGCAACATCATTTTAAGTATATCATACCAAAATCAACGTTCTTCGTGCCGATTGTGTAGTTTCACCTTGATTTGATTTCTACTATATACATTAGTTTATCTCGGTCACTGTCAACCCAAAGCATCATGAGCAGCAAGATTGGCAAATATAAATTATCTATACGACTTATGACGATTACCTTTCAGGTCCAATGAATAATACATGCGCACCAAAAAAAGAGGGAAAACTAAATCATTTCCCATCCCTTGAGTGTTCACAAGCTGCTCTTTAATGTTAACACAAGGGAATCAGAACTTTATGGATGTTCTTTGATTTTTTTTTTCTTTAAATAGTATTTCTACTCAATGCTACAAGCAGCCATTGCCTTTGGAAGTTCTGCTAGCTTTCTAGTCTCTCTGACCACCAAAGCTTTCATAATTACTCGCTGAACATGTAGTTCCATCTACCGCCAACAATGATGATGAATCTCACAAAGAGTGTCTGGGCCAAATTTCAACCCAAAATTCCTTCACGCGAAATTAAAGTTCCTGTTTCTTTCTTTTGATTTTGGGGTGAAATATGACCTGGATATGTTCTAGATCCCCTTTGCACTGAATAAAAAACACAAGGCAAACCTGAACTGAAGTTCATTTCGGATGAAGGGCGTCCTCAAGTGGGATGAGAGGGGGTGTGAGGCACTGCGATGGCCCATGCACTATACAGCTAAAAGCCCTCCGTGTATTCCTCATGAACAGACTGCAACGACAAAGAATGCTCACATCTTAAGACTTAGCATCTCATAGTCAAAACTCTCCAGCTGCCCGTATCCTGACTTCTACATCTTTTAATACAAAACATGTCACTGAAACTACGCTAGTTGTTGCGTGGGTGAAAGTGGCATGTACGTAGTCCAAACACTGTACAAAAATATCTGTGGAGACCCATGTTGCTTCTATTGGACATCAAATCCATTACACGATCATATAAATAAGCTTGTCACACTAGATTTCACATAAAAAATAAAATAAAATCCAGTGTGTTCAAATAAAAGGCAAGTATTATACGATTCCAATTGCACAACTGAGTTTCGAGTCTATTGGCTCATTAGTGTTTAACAGGGAGTCCTCTGGTTGAGTGATACATTTCATCTTTATCCTTCTGACGTAAAATGTGGACACTATGAAGAACTGTATATGAGCAAAAGAAAAAAAAAAGTGAGACGGGGCATTTAAGAAGTGCGCAAAAATTTCTGAAAGCATGTGTGAATCAAGGTTCCTCCAAATTGCACTGATGAAAAACATAGCAAATCATAGTTTATGGAAAATCCATTACACGATCATATAAATAAGCTTGTCACACTAGATTTCACATAAAAAATAAAATAAAATCCAGTGTGTTCAAATAAAAGGCAAGTATTATACGATTCCAATTGCACAACTGAGTTTCGAGTCTATTGGCTCATTAGTGTTTAACAGGGAGTCCTCTGGTTGAGTGATACATTTCATCTTTATCCTTCTGACGTAAAATGTGGACACTATGAAGAACTGTATATGAGCAAAAAAAAAAGTGAGACGGGGCATTTAAGAAGTGCGCAAAAGTTTCTGAAAGCATGTGTGAAGCAAGGTTCCTCCAAATTGCACTGATGAAAAACATAGCAAATCATAGTTTATGGAAAACCAGACGACTGTGCAGAACACAGGTTGCCATCAGCTCAGTCTCTGCAGTCCCCTTCATATCCCCAAATAAATACCAATGCTGCCTGAGAAGCAATCAAATCAAATACATCCGCGACATATCTCCAATATTTATGCGTGTCCGATAGATGGTTTAATCTTTCTCTCCATCTTCACCGCTTCCTGAGAAAGAAAACGAGAAACAAGATTGAGAGTTCAGATTCTTGAGGTCCCACTCTGTTTGTGTGTGGATGTTGGAGCTGAACTTACCCCCTTGCTCAATGTCAGAGTCTGTGAGGTGGGTGAGGGAGAAGCTGGCGATGCTGGCTGGGGAGATGGAGAAGCGCGAGTAGTTGGAGGGACTGTTCCAGCTCTGCTCCAGGGTGCGGTTCGCAGGGGGTGGTGAGAAATACTTAGAAGCCGCCGAGGTCCCACTGGGTCTACTGGCAGAATGATCAATGGCTGCCTTTGAAAGGAAATTGGGCTCTGGAGATGGGAAGTCATCGTCCCACTCGAATGCACCACCTGGGAAACAAATCAAAAGGTTTAAAGGCTTAGTATGCAGCCTGAAGTTCACAAGCCATCCATGGCTCTTTGATGGCAGCGTTGAGAGGAAAAGTGTAAAAATTCAGCTTTTTGGTCTTCAAAACATTCTGTACGCCTTAGACTAGAAACTGTTTTTAAATGTAGCTCTTTGGTTCCGGATTGGCCTTAGGATAAGTACCATTGGTTTATAGGGTTTACAGTAAAAATACAGAGCAGTGGTTTTCATCCCTGATCATGGAGTATCCCAAACACGCATATTAATCACACCTGACTGAACTCATCAGCTTGTTAGTACAGACTGCAAGACCTGAAATGGGTGTGCCAGATAATGGAGATATCCAAAAAGTGTAATGCTGGGAGTACTCCAGTACAACAGTTGGGCAACACTGACTTATGCTGGCTGCACACTAGAGGATTTTAAGGCCGATTTTAAGGCCGATTTGCATTTCTGAAAGATCGGGGGGCATGGCCCAATTTGAGGCTTGTCGCAAAATATTTTTGGGCCAAAAAAAATCCTCCATTGTGTGGTGTCTTTACGATTATTCCCGATCGAGACAGAGCGTCGCCGAACTCAAATGTTTGATATTTCCGACTCTTGATCTGGCTGCCTCTGACGTGATACCCGCGATAGCCAATGAGAGCGAGCAAGCATCACCTACCGGATGTTGCGTGCTTCTATAGCTGAAACTTGGCAGCCACAAAAATGCCAAGAAAGCAGAATACATCGCCCATATTCTTTGTTATACGTTGTTTTTCACTGTTGTTCGCTGACAACGCCGATTGTTCTCCATTTTTTTTTCTTCTCTAGTCACGCTTGATATCACGAGTCTCCATGAGATCACGTGTCACTGTGAAATCGTTCCTACAATCATCAAGTGTGTGGTCTCACGGTCTGGTCGAATCTTCTAGAGTGTGCATTCAGAGGATTATAAGGCTAAAAATCAGTTGAACTGTCTTCGTGTCTGTGGTCTCCCATGGTTTTAAAACCGTTTAGGATTTGAAAATCGTCTAGTGTGCAGCCAGCTTTAGAGGCAGTTTACACAAAACTGTTTTTAACTAAAAATGGAAAACTACACGTTTTGGCGGCCTGAAAATGCAAACATTTGAAAACTAGAAAAAAGGCAAGTTTGAAAGCGCAAGTTTTAAAAAATTATAGTCTCAGTGTAAACTAAAAAAAACTTTGTACAACTGGGTCAATATCACTGTAGGGGGCCTTTTGATGTCCTGTACATAAATAACTAATTTGCCATGATAACATAAAATGACTATGAAAGGGTGTGTTATATTAGGCTAGGTTTTTATATTAATAAGAAAACATTACTTTGCTACACTGTTCGCTGCATAAAAAATGCTGAGCCAAATGTATTAATTATTGTATTAATTTAAAACATTTCAATATATTTTATATTGTTTAGATTATTATAATGCATTAGCATCATATTCCTGTCCATTCACCAGTTCACTGTGTTTGCTGCGTAAAAATGGGTTGATTTTCACATTGGTCTGAACAAAAACAGCAGACGGGCTTACTGAAAATGCATGCTCATTCTCTGCAAGTAGGTGAAGTTGTTGAAACACAGAACAGAAGAAATATAGCATTTTCCCTTGTAACAGCTGTACACAAAGCAGTGCTACACTCATAAACGCTACTTTGTCTGGCATTATATGCAAGTAAAATTAAATGAAAATGCCATCGATACTTTTCTGAAGGCAGTCAGAGTCAGTTCCCTCTTGAAATCATAATTAAGTAATTTAAGACTTTTTAAGGCCTTAAATTTTGAACAACTAAATATAAGACTTTTTAAGGACCCACAGAAACCCTGTTTTTTACGTGTTTAGTCTGTAGGAAAGCATATGTGAGCAGGTGTGTAGTGTTTCTTTACAAAGTGACATTGCCAACTACTGGCCTGGCATGAATAATGAATCATAGCTTTTCTTGACAACATTGTCTTCTGTAAGCGAAACTTTTCAAAAATGCAAAGGAAAAACTTCTCCATTTTTAGTACAATCGTTGTCATGTAAACATACCCATAAACTGTCAAGAAAGAAATGAGCACAGTCATTACCTTCTTCATCAGTGGAGCTCTCAGAGTTGGTAAATCTGTTAAGGTAGCTGGAGGAGGCCACTGGACTGCTGAAATCA